ACTGAGTTCAGGCTTTGGAGGCCAGGGTGGCTGAACTGGAGGAGCTAAGGGAGGTAGAGAGCTATGTTGATGAGACTTTCCGGGACACTGTAGTACTGTCCCACCTCCAGAGGAAACCATCTGGTAGTTGGGACCCTCCCTCCAGAGGAAGTTGCGGTATCCTCTCGCACTGAGGATACCTCTAAGGGGGAAGGAACGCCAGTTGTTAGGAAGAGGTGGGTGTTAGTAGTGGGTGATTCGATTGTTAGAAGCATAGATAGTTGGGTTTGTGATGACTGGGAGAACCGTATGGTCACTTGCCTGCCTGGTGCGAAGGTTGCAGATCTCTCGAGGCATCTATAGAGACTTACGTGTAGTGCTGGGGAGGAGTCAGTGGTCGTGGTACATGTAGGTACCAGTGATGTAGGGAAGGATAGGAGAGAGGTCCTGGAGGCCAAATTTGGGTTGCTAGGAAAGAGACTGAAATCCAGGACCTCTATGGTGGCATTCTCGGAAATGCTTCTAGTTCCACGCGCAGGGCCAGGTAGACAGGCAGAGCTTCAGAGTCTCAATGCGTGGATGAGACAATGATGTAGGGAAGAGGGGTTTGGATTTATTAGGAACTGGGGACACTTTTGGGAGGGGGGGAGCCTATACAGGAAGGATGGGTGGAACCAGACTGCTGGCACTAAACATTAAAAAGGCCGTAGAGAAGTTTTTAAACTAAGAGATAGGGGAAAGATAGGAGATATGGTGTGGAGATGCACATAAATCGGAGGGAGACTTCTCTTAGAGGAGAATCCATTGATAGAGATTCTCTAAGCTGTAGTCAGAAAGAGAGGAGGGGAGAGGACAAACCATGGGCCAGAGCGGACAAACAACTGCATACAAAGGAATCCAATGCACCAGGGAAGGGCAGACAAATAAGCAGTGGCAAATTTTCAAGTGCTTCTGCACAAATGCTAGGAGTCTGACTAATAAGATGTTTGAACTAGGGTACTTCATATTAAATGAGGAGATTGACATAATAGGCATCACTGAAACCTGGTGGAATGAGGAAAATCTGTGAAACACAATCATACCAGAATATAAAATATATCTGAAGGATAGAGCAGGCTGGGTGGGTGGTGGAGTGGTACTGTATGTGAAAGATAATATAGAATCAAATGAAATAAAAATATTAAATGAATCAACATGTTCAATAGAATCGCTATGGATAGTAATTCCATGCTCCAATAATAAGAAATTAGCAGTAGGGATATATTATCAACCACCTGACCAGGACAGTGATACTGACATTGAAATGCTGAGGGAGATTAGAGAGGCTACCAAA